GGCTTACGGAACGTCTTGCCATAGTTCTGGTAGCTTTTCTTTCCCATCGCGCGGTTGGGTTCTAGCCCCTGTTAGAGCAGGTGCGATTGGCTGGCTTGAGTCATACATAAATAGTCAGGATCAGTTTAACGGTGGTGTTGGTGTCAAAGTCTCACTCTTGTAGTAAGTAGACATGCTCAACAATATGCCTGCTAGACCGAGAAAATACGAATCAAAAAAAACAAACAACTTGCACACATCAACCAGAATGCAGGGTGCAGGGTGCAGGACATTTTTGGTTGCTTCTCGCTTTGCTCCGGAGTCGCAACTGACAAGCAAGCCTTGCACATGCAAATGCATGCTCTAAGAAGGCTACGGCGCTCGGAGTGCTCAGTCCTCTTCCTCGTCACCGCCTCCGCCGGCGCCCTTGCTTGCCATCATCTTGCGGCGCACACGCCCTGGTCGGCCACCACCGAAGGGAGAGGTCAAGGCAAAGTCAATGTGCTTCTCGCTGTCCAGGCGAACCAAGAAGGAAGGGATGTCGCAAATCTGCTTGCCAACACGGATGTGGCGCTGGCGAATCAATGTGCGAGCATGATGAATGGATTTGGCCAATCCCAACTTGAAGACCTTGGTCTGCAGCCTGCGCTCCATGATCTTTGCTGTGGTCAGACCCAGGACAAAGTCGAGCTTCTTCTCTGACTCGAGCAGCAATCCCATCCGGACCATGCGACGAAGAAGGGCCTCACCCTGGAAGATACGGATTGGGCTCCTCTCTTCGAGGGTCAGAAGTGTTCGAGCTGCAGTTCGGATCTTGGCCAAAGCGTACTGCACACGCCACACCTCACGCTTGTTCTTCAAGCCATACTCACCGATGATCTTCATCTCTCCATCGAGACGCTCTTTCTCGAAAGGCCTCTTGGGCTTACGGAACGTCTTGCCATAGTTCTGGTAGCTTTTCTTTCCCATGGCTAGAACTGCGAGCAACCTGCAACCACGTAGCCGCTTTGAGCCAAAAGCATATGATGTCACAACTACCAAAGTTGACAGGCGAAATGGCTCAGGTCCAGCTCAGAATAGTTGTGGGCCTCATGCAAGATCGGTGCAACCTTTGTATTTTTTATCCGTTGGGCGAGTAGCCTGACTGGATCAAGGCTCCCAAGCTCTTCAGACCAGCATCTCCACCCTGATGACTGATCAGTCCAACCCAAGGTGACAAATATAAATGTCCCATGTGAAATGTTTGACCACTATATTATTTCTAACAAGACTGCAACGACTTCTTCAGAGCAAGCAAGGAAATAATGGGGCTTGGAGAACAAGTTGCTTCAGCTAAGAGAAATGTTAGCAGAACATGGATGCACAATTGTCTTTGCTAACTGCTAACGTACGTTTCAAGACTGCAAGAATGTAACCGTGCACAAACGAAGAACATACAGCACCTTAAGCCAATTCTTCATCATTGCAGCTCCAACATCCACGTCACCCGATGCCAAAGACTGTACGGCCTGAGAGCAGCTCCCAAGCAACAAAGTGTTTGTGAACTTCGGTGCAGATTGGACGTTCAGCCAGTAATTGAAAAGGCTGAGGACCCAACAAGAACGCCTGCCAACAGAAAGGGAAAGGCATCAGAAAAAAGAAAAGAAACAAAACTCAGAACCACAAAACCTTCTCCAAATCCAAGCCCTTCCTTGTATGCTTTTCGGGGCTCCCTACTGACTTTGCTGGTGCCTCGCAGTTTGCCACATGAAGAGCTAACCTCAGTTCACCAGTGGCTGTGATGGCCCAGCAGGATCCGTCGCATGTATGTCTCTACCAGAATCATTGCATGTCGTACACTATATATATATACACGCTCGAGCTGGGTGGACAAAAAAAAATGGTTTTAACATTAACATGTCTCTTCTTGTGATCCCTTCACAATTTGTTTGCGTGGCTGTGACTTTCCTACAATGGATCACAAAGAATCTGTGCTTAACCGGTCGTGATTCGTAGAAATCAATCATTCTTTGCTAGTTTGGGGTTGTTCTTGGTGATCAGTGACCGATGGTGGTTTCTGGTGCTTTGTTGGTTCCCGTAATCCGTTGTCTTGCTAACGCCAAATCTGTGAAAGTCTTGTGCTTTTTGCGATTTGTGGTGATTCAAGGTGACCTGTGGAATTTGAAATTTGGGGTGAGTTGCGGTAAGGTTATGGGCAATACAATTCCCTGGAGTCTCAACATAAATCATTCCTAAATTGAAAATCATTTCAAGGGGAATCAACTGCAAGAATTAGAGACAAGAAAAGTAATAATAAAAGCACACAGTCCCAGCCACCCAAGTGATGCACTATCATGTATGCTCCCAGTGGCCAAGCTTTGCTTGTGAGAGGAAGAATTTGTCACGTAGTCTGTCTCTCTAACACTCTCTCGTCTCTCTCGCTCTCTATAATATATATATATATATATGTGTGTCCCCTCCTGTTGGTTTCATGTCAGTCCCAAGAACTTGCAGTTACCAGTGACCAGTATGAGTTTGAAAGCCTGGCAACATAGTCTTCAAGAGCAGTCTTTCTCAATCCCAGAAAATCCTCCTCAAAATCCGGCGAATAGACAACTCCATCAGTAGCCCCGCCACTTTGTATCATTGACACAAAGAACTTCTCCAGCCAATCAAGCGCTTTAGAGACCCTGTCCGCTTGCTCTGCGGAAACTGCATTTGCCTTCCCCCACAAGACTTTGACATCTTCTTCCCTAAGACCATCTGCGAATCCATGGCGTTGCAGGAATGCTGACACGGCGTCAAATGAAGAACGTTGAAGTGCAGCAGCCGCTTTGGAGCTTCGCGATGATGGATGTCGCCGAATGTAGCAAGCAACATCCGCCAGATTCGCAAAATGAACATCCAGCGGCAAAGAAAGCCAACACCAATGATCTTCAGCTTCTTTTCCCTCTGGATATGGACCTTGACCAAAACTGCTGCGACGAAAGGTCACTGTAGGATGTGCTAAAGAGCAGGAAAATATCATATGCCATCGAGCCAGGACTGGATGACAGGGAAACCGATACTGCTGCAAGCAAGATGTTTCCTCAAAGGTGCAGAAGCCTCCACCAACAATCGAAATGGACGGATGTCTGTCAAGAAAGCTGATTTGCTTCTCCAATCGTGTTGGATGGGCGTAATCATCACCATCCAATCGAGACACATACCTTCCCCGACACTGACGCCAGCCTTCATTCAGCGCAGCAGCAATGCCGACACCCTTGGAACGAAGCACCCGAATTGAAGGATTCGAATCCCACACAGCAAGGGTCGTCAAGGTTTCAGCCTCAGATGATCCATCGTCCACGACAATCAGTTCCCAACTTCCCGGAGCCATCCCCACTTGCTGCTCAATGCTGCGAAATGCGAGATCCAGCCAAGCTGATGGAGTGTCCTTCACCGGCATCAGCCAAGAAACGATGGGAGCTTCGACGTCTGAACGGCCAAAGCTCTTTTTGGTTGGCAACGGCACATGCACACTATCCATATAGGTTGTTGCATAGGATTCAGCAGCACTCGCCAATATCCAGGGAGGCCAGCTGGCTACATCAAAGGCTTCCCAGGTCTGCAGCTCTTCAGTTTCGTTGGCCTTTCTCTCCAACGGTCGCTCTAAGTAAGAAAGAACCCACTCCAACGATCGCTCTAAGTGCTCCACAAGGGCAGCTGCTGCGCTTTGGCCACTTGACATAGAATCAGCCTTGGGGGCCGACTGCATCAAAGCATAGCGAAGAACCTGGGACGGCGGGACTGTTCTCTACGAAAAAATAAACATACAAAAGTGAACATTCAAAACACCAGGTGGAAAAATCAAAAGTTTTGACCCAGCCTCACCTTGTCCAATTCTTCCGGTGATAGTTCAGAGCCAACCGTGTGATACACAGGGTTTGCAAACAAGCTCTGCACCCGATTTATGGTTACCACTGCAACAACTGGGCGATCTGAACAGGCACAGAGCGAGGCTGAATTCGCGGTTGCCAGCTTCTGCTGTTTGAGCAGCCGTGCACCATAGCCCTCCAAATGGTTTGGATGGTCTGCTGCACATGAGCCAAATTCGGATCGAACCATGCGCAAGACTTCCTCTATTGAGTCCAAGCGGTAAAAAGATGCACTCAATTCCCATGGGTAGTTCCAGTCATATTCGCCCTTTGCACGATCAAAAACCAGTAGTTCCGAAGTCTCAACATATTCTGCGTCCAAGGGGAGACGGTGATTCTGGCGGCTAAATGGCGGCACTCGCATAAACTTGTTGCTTGTATGGACGTACTCAATGCGTGGGCACAGCTTTGTATGCACTGAATAGATTCGCTCATCCTTCTCCAAGAGCTTCATTGCAGACGTTGCATCGAAATCTTGAAACCAAAGAGCGTCGTCGACTGTCAACAGCACCGTCTGTGCGGCTCTGTCTCTGGCGCTCGCCAAAGCCTGGTCCAAAAGCTGGCCCAAAGGATTGGTCTCAGTCTCCTCCATCCACCGAAATGCTACTTTTGTAGCCAGTGAGTTGTACAGCCCCCTATCCAACAATGTTTCCACCACAGAGTAGGAGTCGCGGAAGCCAGGCGAGGTTTTATAGAGAATGAAGATCTCTAGAGCTTCTGCTTTGAGGTGCCTCAACAATGAAGCCAACGAGCACAGAAGTTGACAGGGCCTGTCTTTGCTGAAGATGAAGACAGGCAGCCATGTTTGCTTCTGGCATTCCTCCATCTTCTCACATCCGGGGAATTGACTTGCAGCGTACAGGATTGGGATGGTACCGTGAAACAAGTGTATATCGTGTATAGTTACTAATTGTAATGAATATATAGTGAATCTCTTCCTGTTGACCGCTGTTTCTAGCAAAATGCCTTGCTCTACGGCTACTCCAAGACTAAAGGCTTGAGCAGGTTCACTAGCACGATAAAATGATTATGTGCACGTCCTAGGTTTACTAGGTTTAGAGACTTCAGGCGCACAAATCCACAATATTGGTCGCTCTTTCTTTTCTCGCTGGTTCTGAGCAGTTGATCAGCGCATTCTTCTGCGAGCCCTCCTCGACACAGAAGCGGCCGCCGTCGTGGTGGTTGTCGTTGCTGCGGTGGTAGTTGTGGTAGTGGTTGTGGCAGCAGCTCCAGACACAGCCCCTGGGACATAAGGACAGTTCGCTCCAGCTGGGTAGGCTGGGCTGAACTCTTCTGCCATGCAGCACCTCACGCTAGAAAACAGGAATGGCACAAATGCTACGCATCGCTACGCATGCATGTGGTGAGAAATCTTGCTACAAGCTACTCAAGATACTCGAGCTATTATCTGGGTTGAGCCCCCGGCGAAGATGCACAACTTGCGGCTGGCGTCGCTATAGACAGCCCACTATACCAAGAACTGGAGAATACCGCAGAGCCAGGTGCATAGTACACCTCATTGATCCAAAAGGAAACCAAGCACAAAATTCAAAAAATATCAATGTTTAGGCATGAGGTTCACCCGAAACCACGAAAGTGGACCTTCTTGTTTATGGCAAGTAATCAGAAATTTCACTGGTTCGCTCACCTCTGTGAAGGAGCGTTCCGCAGGGGCAGATCCGTAGTATTTCAACTCTACGGGCGTCGTGGCATAGGTCTTTGCCTCGCAAGACATGTCAACTTTGCTTGGCTCCCTTACCCGTCAGCAAACCAAGCGACTGACAAAGTTTCAACATTAAGTAGGAGTAGAGATCATGAGATATACATGTCACCATCACTTGTTTCTTCCTTCTTTATTTCTACACCGATGCCACCCGCTCCTTGCACGCATCAATAGCGGCTTCAAGTTCATCATCCGACACACGGAGTGCATTGAGGAGACACTCGATCCTGGGGAACGAAGGTGCATCCAATCAATTCAAGTCTTCAACCGGCAGACCTATCTCTTTACATTCATTCAATCACATCACTCTAGGGTGTATGGTCATTATACACCGTTCCGTGATAATGAGCCCAATGGTGAGAGGAAGTCTAAGTAATGCTAACATTAGTGTCGCATCAAAACCCTGCAAGGTGGGCACGCGAAGTAGGAGCTGAAAGGCTGTCTTTTCCAGGGGTTTGGACATGGTCGGACGGTGCAAAAAGGCATCTATGTGACGCAGGGTGTGTGGAACAGGGGCGGGGCATGTTCGAGACAGTTGCGCAATTCTCCGACGTGGCCTGCTGGTCATGGTTGTTCAGGTGATTTTATGGCTTGGGCAACTCATATGAGGTTTGATGTCAGGTCTGTGTCACCTGCTACAGGTTGCTTCCGGCTTGCAGTTGCCACTCTGGGTTGCAAGTCGCGCTATCACAGCTGCGTGATGTGTACTGAGCGATGCGGAGATTCTATAGAAACGCAGGGAAAAGGAATCGGAAAGACCGAAACGAAAGAATGCAGCACATACATACAGAATGTTATATAGTTTTTTTGAAAAACCTGCCGAAATGTCAATTCTGGAGAAACTTAGAACTGAAAGAGAATTCTAGAGAAATGAGAAATGCAAAAAAATGCCGAGAATCTTAATTGAAGGGAAGCTGAACAGGTGTAAGTTACTCACAAAAAAGGACCCATATCATTTGTTTGCTTCCGGAAGAACTTTCCGCAAAAAAAAGACAGTCTAGGTGAAAGCTCAAATGGTGAAATGTAAAGAGCTAACCAGGGCATCCAAACGACACCACAAAAGACATCAAGTCCAGAAGTCTGCACACTTAGATCCAAGCACATGTCCTCTATTGGCGGCTATAATATACATCATGTGAGACTTTGTAATCATGCCACATAGAGTGAAACACGTACAATGTCTTGCAATGCATGGTGTTGCAGCATTTACTGGAGCTTGTGCTTGCTAAATTTCACCAAATCCACGTGCAGTTTTAGTACATTGACATAGAACAAAGAGGTGTTCAAAGCATCGTGTTTGACGATCCTAAGTTCAACGTAGACTGACTGTATATCATTTAGATGGCATCTATATATATATATAAAACAAAGAATCTAACAAGACTACGGAGCATCGCCAGTGAAAAAGCAGGGCTGTTTGGGAAGCTTCGACACATCTATCATTCCAGCTACAAAGCTTGCATTGGCCAAATTCAAATTAAAGAAAGTATCCAGACAAACCCGGCCTCAACACTGCTCGCCACTCAGCCTTGTTTGCCACCTCATTCTCTTGCGCGAGGGTAACGACACTGTCATAGATGTCCTGCCAACCAAAAAGTAGAAGACGAACCTCACAGACTATGGAGTTGTGTTGAGCAATGGCAGCCATACATGACCAACCATCAAATAACTTTTTTTGTAAAAAAAGAGCGAAAAAAAGGAAAAGAAACAAAACAAAAGCAAATGAAAATGCAAAGCAAAAGCAAAAACAAAGCAAAAAGCAAAAACAACGCAAAAAAGGCGAACATAAAGCAAAAAAGAAGTGAACATAAAGCGAAAAAATTGCCAAAAATATCAAAGAAAGGAGCTTGCGGTTTGTCGCGCTTTTTTCACTATTGTCAATTTGTCTTTTTTTTTCGCTTTTTGTTCACTTTTTTTCGCTTTATTTTCACTTTATGGTTGCTTTCTGTTCGCTTGTTTTTCGCTTTTTTCCTAGGCGCGTACAGCGAATATTGCTGACGGGTAAAAGTGTTCATAAGTGCAGAAGTGGTACCAGAAAAAGATACAGCGGAAAACATCTGAAAATAGAGCGAAAAAAAGTGAAACATAAATTCTGATGTTTGTTTGTTTCACCTTTTGCTTCTTTTTTGCTTTTTTGTTGCTTTAAAAAATCATTTTGGCTCCTTGTATCTATGGCTGGCGTGCCCGACTTAACTATGGATTTAAAGCAGCACATTCTGTTCAGCTTCGATTGCTACTGCAAAGGTAAGCACAATGGACCCAATTTCCTCCAGCGTCGCAAATTACAAGCCAATCTGCTTCTGGCTACAAGCTAACACACGCACAGTTGGCAAGTGGCCTTCTTTTCAGCATAGCAATCTGAAAAGTGGCCTCACAGCGGTTGAATCTCAAACAGGCAGCTGTGCAAAGAGCTGCGCAAAGCCCTGTGCTAGCTTCATTGCTGAACAAACAGCTTCACTACTCATTCCCTTCAAGTCTGAGAAAAAATCTATTATATAAGAGTCCCTGATTGGAGGCAAGTTGCTGCAGGTGTACGTCTTGTGCCCTTCACAAGCTGGCTTCTCAAAAGCCTCCTGGTGCTTCTCACAATCAATCTTCTTATCCTCATGGACAAATTCCACCAAAGTTTACCCAGTTCCCCTACCGTGGCCCTCCGTCCATCTCCAATCAGCCAAAGGCTTCAGAAATCTTGACCGACTCAAAAGTAATAGAAACATGACAAACAATATGCAGAAAAGGTACATAGTACTGGCAAATCTTGTTCCCACATAGATCTTCATTTGGAAAAGGTGTGGCCATGGCAATATCACATCGCTGTTTCTTCAGGAGCAGCGCGTCATACGCATCGGAGAAGTATTTCTCCATATCAATCAAATAGTGACCGATGGTGGGAACCTGCAGGATCCAAAGCAGTTCCGAATCGAAAGCTGGACAAAGCCTAACATGAGCTAAACATGTTCAAAGATGGATACAGTGGACACGGTAACTCTAATTAGGGGCATGACCGGCGTGTTTTCGTTCATCACACATGTCGTCGCTGGAGTTGGAAAGACCTGCAGGTCAGCAGGTCACAAGGTGCAGTCCAAAGTTGGGCGCAAAAAAAGGGAATTCAGTCAGAGAAAATTCGAAAAACAAAAAAAATATGTTTTTGACATCAGAAGATTCCAAGGTCGCAGAAAGCGTCAGAATTGGACGGGCCTTAGCTTGCTCGTATGCATCGCACAGGGCTTTCCGCTCGTTCTCAAAGATCTGACCTTGCAAGCTCGGATGTGCAAATCGAGAAGATGCGTCCTTTTATGAGATTGTTTTATTTTGTTTATTATGTTCTTTAGAGTAGGCCGTAGAGGTAGCTAGTAGTAGCTAGGTAGCCCCGCCCTAAAGGCGGCGGGGGAAGCTTCCTTGAAGAAGCGCTCACACTATATAATGATTTGGTTTCTAGATGTTTAAGGAACATACATTCATATATACATATATAT